TATTTTGCCACGCGCTTGCCGGCATCACCTGCACATTCACCTTAGCCATCAAACAGCCGAATCTGCGGACAGTATGCGGTGCTCCTTCAATGGCCGAGCTGCTGATGCAGCACGGCGCGGGGTCGCTTCCAAGCCCTCATCAGGATTTTCCTGCAAGCGAATCCATAGAAGTCTTTGCACGCCTAGACTGGACAAGCCTTGCAACAGAGATTGCGTCCGAGATCAAAAACATGGGGTGTGTTGCTCTGGTGTTTTCTCAAAACATGATATCCTTCCTCACCAAGGCAAGATTGGACTTTGTGTTCTGGCAAGGTTGTCAAGCAAACTCTCCTCTTGCTGACCGTCGGTCTCGAAGAGGGCGTAGATATTTTGCCACGCGCTTGCCGGCATTACCTGCACATTCACCTTAGCCATCAAACAGCCGAATCTGCGGACAGTATGCGGTGCTCCTTCGATGGCCGAGCTGCTGATTCCACCCGGCGCGGGGTTGCTTGAAAGCCAGGAGCATCAGGATTTTCCTGCAAACGAGTCGATGCAAGTCTTTCCACTTCCTGACCAGACAAGCCTTGCAACAGAGATTGCGTCCGCTATCAAAAACATGGTACCGTCGTTGTTAGCTACCGCTCAGGTTCAGCACGTCGCAATCGGGAGGTGCAAATGAACAAATGCGTTTCATGGTGGTTTCGAGCGCATGTCCAAAAAGCTTAGGTGAAAGGCATGAGCCAAATTTACTGGTATTTCAAACGGTATTTCCATTATTCCTGCTTGTGAAGTGCGCGATGTATTCCTTTTTACAGTGGTTTCTAGTGCGCAGCGAAAGGTACCTCTGCACGAAAATGTTTTCACCTGCCGTTCGCGCGCGCTGCCAGCTGCTTGCCCATAGACCAAAGGTCAGGGCCACTGTTGTGCCGGCAGGCAAAGCTCCTGACGTACACCATCAACTTTGCGCTCATGCTTCTGTCCTTGCTCTTGGTACAGAGAGACTTTGGAATGGTTTCCAGTACCTCCAAGTGACATCCAAACTCTGCGTCCCCGTGATGCTCTTGGAACACGAACGTTATTATGGTTTGGGCATGGATGCTCTACTAGTCACCGTATGCTCTTGGAGCACGAACGTTATTATGGTTTGGGCATGGATGCTCTAGTGACCGTATGCTCTTGGAACACGAACGTCATTATGGTTTGGGCAAGGATGCTGTAGCACGAGCACTATGATGGTTTGGACACCGAAATCCCAACCCTCAGAAACCTTGAAAACCTCTGCGGTCATTAATGACGACGGTAG